GAAAATATGTATCAGAGCAAAAACCAAGCCCTGAGGTCAAAAGAACTGTCTGTATAGAGCTCATAAACAGGATTGCATCAAGAAACATATCTGGGGAAGAGTTCAGAAAAATGTGCCTGCATTGAAGGTTTGCAGAAGCATGTAGTCTCCATTTCTCTAGTGGAAGAAGTTTGAAATAACCATAACTCTTCCTAGAGCTGGCCTCCTGGCCAAACTGAGCAATCGATAAAGAAGGGCTTTGGTTAGACTGGAAACCAAGAGCCTGATGGCGACTCTAATTTAGCTCTATGATCATATGTGGAGGAGAAACCTACAGAAGCACAAACTTCACTGCAACACTCCACCGATCTGGTCTTTATGGCGGTGTGGCCAAACTCAATCCTCTCCTCAGTGAAGACACATGAAAACACACTTGGAATTTGCACAAAAGCACCTAAAGAACCCTCAGATTGTGAGAAACAAGATTCTCTGGTCTGATGAACTGCAATTCCAAGTATCATGTTTAAAGGAAACCAGGCACTGCTCATCACCTGCAGAGTAGCATCCCAAAAGTAAAGTGTGCTGGTAGCAGTCTCATGCTGAGGGGCTGTTTTTCAGTGGCAGGGACTGAGGGACTCGTCAGAGTAGAAGAAAAGTTCAGTGCATTAAAATATTGAGATATCCTTAATGAAAACCCAGTCCAGAGCATTCAGAACCTCAGACTAAGCAGAAGGTTCACCTTCCAACAGGACAATGACCCTAAGCACACAGCAAGAGTGACTTATAGACAACTCTGTGAATGTCCTTGAGTGGCCATGCCAGGGCCTGGGCTTGAACCCAATCAAACATTTCTGGAGAAACCTGAAAATGTGCATCTGCCCCCATCCAAGCTGGCAGAGCTTGAGAGGTGAAGAGGTGAGGACAAGAATGGCAGATAATTGCCAAATGCTGATGTGCAAAGCTTGTCGCATCATACCAAAAAGACTTGAGCTTGTAAAGGTGCTTCAACTAAGTACCACGTTAAGGGTATGAATACTTATGCAATGTACTTATTTCAGTTTTTTTTTTATATATATAAATTTATGAAGTTTTGACAATTATGTTTTTGCTTTGTCATTATGGTGTGTGGAGTGTAGATTGATGTGGGGGAAAAAAAATAATTGAAAGTAGTTTAACATAAGGCAGCAACATAACAAAACATGAACAAAAAATGAAGCGGTATAAATACGTTCGCAAGGCACTGTATTAAAGAAAATATAGTTTTGGCCAAAAAAATTACATTTTTGTAATTACATTCTCAAAATCATTTAAAAAAAATTAAACCTGCATGTGGGTCAAAGACGAAAAAGGGTTTAAGCATAAAAACAATAAGTGTAATACTGCTTTAAATTGTTTTTGTGTCGCAGAAAATTCTGTTGAATTTAATTGCAATTTTGTTTTTCTGAGCAAAAAATAAATATCATACATTTTTCCCTGATTTACAGAAGAGACGCACTAAATTGTCATTCAGTGTAACAATCTTGTCAGGCATATTTACAACAAAAATTGACTAATTGACCAATAAAGACTTATTACTTTCACCCCAAATACTAATTAGTTTTAATTTGTAAATTTGCCACTATCCTAGGTTTTGCTCATTTGTCAGTAAGAATTTTTTACTCATTTACAACTCCCCTACATTCTGCAAAAATAGCTCAACAGAAGAATGAAACTCATATGGGATTGGAACAATCTGAATAATTTAATTTTGAGTAAATGATGACAGAATTTTTTTGGTGTGAACTATCCCTTTCCTTTAACAGCATCTACAAAGGAAATTCAAATATCTTTAATTATACATTTCAATGTTGTTACAGACCTGGCTTTCTAAATTTATGAAAGCACATAGTGGCCAAAGGTTGTCAAGCTGCAAAAAGGACAAAAACCATAAGCATAATAATAAATAGGCTAGATCATATAAGTTATTCCAAGATGTTTTGAGCTGTTGTCAGCTTTTATGTTCAATGCCAGGTGCGATTTCAGTCAGCCTAAAGCGTTTACATGCCATTTTAAAAAGATGAATTATTGCTTTAAGGTATACCGACACATTAGCAAAATTGTGCAGACAAAAAATTATCAATTAGCCTATCTATTGTGTAGTGATGTATGACGCACATCTTTCAAACCAAGCAGCTTTCTGTCGGTCCTCATGATAAACTTGCATGACGAACTGAACACAATGTGAAATCTGTGTGGAAAAAACTTTCGTCTTTGTGCAAAATTCACAATCGTGTGGATTCCTGTTGAAACTAGTGGATTTTGACAGAACAACGGTAAGTGTGATCGCACCTTTAGTCTGAAATCAACATTTTAATTGGATGTAAGCACACGAGCAGAACATTCAGCAGATGAGCCAAGCAGAGATTGGAGCTTTGTTGACATAACCTGCAGCCTTTTTGGATGAACTGGCCCTTGTTAAATTTAGCCTCTTGCTGTGGGAAATGTAAACAGTGACACACTTACTTTTGATGAGATGCTACTTACTGCTGATCTGAGAACAGATTGTGGTTACTTGTCATATATTGAATTGAGGCCTGAAAGAAGACTATACTGGATCAGTGTGAAAGGGAGCCTCTACCCACAGAAAAACAGTTCATAAAGAACACACAGGCACAGCTGTATGTGACAGGTCTGGCCTGTCATTGCCAAAGTGTAGTAAGCAAAGTAATAGCGCAGTGCAAACATAACTGATGGAATGCAAATTTATCTATTATAAAGATTGTAATTTTTCTTGTTGCTAATATTGGGTCTTGCGGTCTTGGTACATTAAACATTGCCTTTTTTTATTCTTAAAGTGTCTTTTTTACCATTTAATACTGTTTATTAAATATGATATAGTCTGTTGTTGATTCGTTTCAAATGACAAAGGGCAAATTACAAAAATTTGTTACCATTTTTATATTTGTTAAAGCTTGTGAACAAAATCAATAATTAGCCGATAGCAATAATTAGCTTAGACAACGAATATGTCTTTTTCACACACACACACACACACACACACACACACACACACACACACAATCCCAAACAGACCATGTTCCTGTCCTTATGCAGCTTTACTGCACTGTGATTCAAAAATGAATCGTAAACTGGTAGTTAGTGACACAATGCATTCCTGAACAGCAAAATAATAAATAAATACATAGGTACATACATACATACATAAATCTATTTTCTTCATCGAATACAACCATGGATTTGATTTGGTACATAGAATTAAACATAAGTATTTATTTATTTATTTATTAGAAGGGAAATTAAACATAATAATAATAATAATAATAATAATAATAATAATAATAATAATAATAATACTATTATGAGATGGTGTTTTTTACTGGATAAGGTTGTCTGAAGTCAACATAATAGTAAGCTTAACCCATTTAATCCCACCTGTCACAATAGTGACCGTAAAAAAGGTTTTCATTTATAAAACTCTAAAAACCTTACTGGTTGATGTTTAGTGCATTTCCTGCAAAATGGAAAAGTAAAGGGTCTCAATTAAATATGTGCAGTGTCACATGGCTAGTGCAAATTGTCACATGACCAGAGCAGTTTATTTCATGTTTGCACCATGAGATGATGATGGCTGCATCAAAGCTCCAAAATGAAAGGTTAATAAAGAATGTTAACAAAGATATGACAAAGATTTTTGGTCCACATTATCTTTAAGGTGTCTAGTATTAATATATGAATTCACATATATTCAGTTTTGTTGAGTGTGTTCAAAGAATGAGTAAATACGTTGATGGTCACAATAGTGGCCGGTGGGATAACAGTGCATTTAGGTATACAATATAAATCCAATGGCAGTTGTTAGTAAAGGTTGCACTAAAATGTTGTAATGACAAAATATTACACTAAATTAAAAGTTCCAATAATACAAATAAGTTACAAAATTGATGTTGTAATACTGGTAGCACTAATATAAAAAAATGATGATATATTTTACAATAAAGTAACAATTTTGAAATATGTTGATGGTTGTATTTTTTGTCTTTTATCTCAGTATTCTTAACAGTGTTGTATAAGGTTTTTTATGCATAATAGTAACCCTTAATCAAACAGTTTAAAATAGCAGGGCTAAGATATATAACAATTTTTTGACTGCAGAAATATGTTAATTCAGTATACACATGCCACCGGTCACAATTTTGACTGACCATAAAACACAATTTTTCACACACTTTTCCAAAAAAAAAATAATAATAATAAATTATTGATTATTTCAAAGGGTTACTAATGACACATCATTTGGATATTTTCACGTCTGTGAAAAATTTGGGATTAAACGGGTTAAGTACACTCCGGTTTAGAATTGGTTTCGAAGGCATGTTGCCTTATGAATTAATATTTGCTCATATCATACAAATAAATACTAAAAAAATGTGTGATTCTTTATCATGAAAAAGGACCATAATACAAAATATTAACAATATTATAGGAATATGCCAAATAAACGAACTGAAATTATTAATATAAGGAAACAAAAAACAGGTGAGGAATTGTTTTATCCACCTTCAGACAAAATACAGATATATTTGAAATAGTTTAACGGTCCTGGAGGGCCGTGTCCTGCAGAGTTTAGCTCCAACCCTAATCAAACACATCTGAAGCAGCTAATCAAGCTCTTACTAGGCATAGAATCTTCCAGTCAGGTGTGTTGAGGCAAGCTGGAGCTAAACTCTGCAAGACACTGGCCCTCCAGAACCGAGTTTGGACAGCCCTGGTTTAACTGTTATTTCAGAGCTATACACAACTAAATCATAATACATATAATAAATGAACCATTAAACGGGTTGCTGGGGTAGCAAGATTACTTAGATACGATTTAAAGTCCTTAGAAAAACAGCAAATCATTTCATTCAGGTTGTGATTCCCGCTCCAGTCCAGTGCGTGGCGATAATGAGACGTAAAATGAAGCTGAGGGCAAAATCCAAAACTCATTTCGCAGTGCCCTCTAGTGTAATGAACTGATTATGAAAAATACATCTGATCCCTGCAGCTGAGATCGCAATTTGCGCTGTTCGTCTTGGTTCGGCCACTTTCTGACAATCCGAGCTCATCAGTCCGGCAACAAGCACATGAAGCAGAGGTGGCAGCACACAGCTGGGTGAGTAAGTTACATGATCCTGTCAAATGCCGAACAGTTTCCCTCGACGAGTAAAACAAAGACACTGCCCTTTTATACAAAGACAAGCAGCAGACTAATAATAACACATGCAGTCATTCATGTGCTGAGCGCCGAGTCTCGTTATAATTACACAGACCTGCACAGTGCCTGTTTGTTTGTTATTGTTTTCAATGCATAAACAATATTTTGACGGAAAGCTGTGGGAGACTCGCCATATCTAGCTGAGAGGATTCAGAAATGAACTGGTTTAATCTAGTTGTCTAGTCTCTTAGTAGTCGGTCAGCATCTTTATTATTATCTTACTCATCTTCTTTAATATTTAATATCCATCCTCATAATGTTGTCTTTCAAATTGTTATTAGGATTTGTCAGCTTTCGTTTGTTTCTTATATAAGCACAAGTCAATTATATAATTTAACCTAAATGGTTAAATGTAAATAGAGAGGAAATAAGTTTTCAACCTGTTTTTTTATTTTTTTTACCTCCCTCAGGGGAAAACTAAGATTGAAACAGTTTCAGAAAATGCAGAGTGAACATATTAGACATTGTATTGTATACTGTTTTATCACGACAGGATATCTGTGTCCCATCCTGACAAAAAGGACTGTGATGAGTGCCAGTTCCTGACTGGACATGTGGAGTATTAGGTAAGATCCAACTGAGGAGACTCTGCTTCAGACACTGCCCTGCCTTAGACAAACAGGATTTGAACCCTGGGGTCACATCACGGACTCTCCATAGCCAGAGGAGACAATTCTTCAGTGTTGTTATCAGAAATGGCTAATAATAGATGACAAGAAAGCCAGAGCGTTCTTTTGCCGGAGTCGTCTTATGTAGCAGCCACAGCCGGAGAAGACAGCCGTCCTCGACTTTGGTAAAATATGTTTCAGTGTTTATGTTGGGAGATGATATAGAGTTAGTTTGCAACAGTGGGGCAGTTTTAAATATCTGCTTGTGTATTGCATTGACATTCAAGGCATGATTTAACAGTATAGATGTTTTATGGCCATGCCAATAATTTCGTTTCAGGTGAATCATGATTCCCATAACTGAGCTGCGCTACTTTGTTGATACGCAACCTACGTATCGCATCCTAAAGCCATGGTGGGACGTGTTCACAGACTATTTATCGGTTGTAATGCTGATGATCGCAGTATTCGGGGGCACACTTCAGGTCACGCAGGACAAGATGATCTGCCTACCCTGCAAGTGGGTCGTTAACAAGACCTGTAGAAAGTATTTCAATGCAACATTTTCTGTGCCCTTGACTCTTGAGCCTCAAGGAATCCAGTATGACCTCGATCGCCACCAGTACAACTACGTCGATGCTGTGTGTTATGAAAACAAGCTTCACTGGTTTGCTAAATATTTCCCATATTTGGTGCTGCTGCATACGCTCATCTTTCTGGCTTGCAGCAACTTCTGGTTCAAGTTCCCTTGGACGAGCTCTAAACTGGAACATTTTGTGTCAATCCTACTGAAGTGTTTTGACTCGCCTTGGACCACAAGAGCGCTGTCTGAAACAGTCGTGGAGGAAAGCGACACCAAAGCTCTGGTGAAAATGAACGGTTCCTTCGATAAGAAGGCTTCGTATGTGAGCGAAGACGTCGAGGCGAGTGTTCCCATGCTGTCAACAACCAGATCTCGTATTGAGCAAGGAATCGTGGACCACTCTGAGACTGGTGTCCTGGACAAAAAGGAAGGTGAACAGGCGAAGGCATTGTTTGAGAAGGTGAAGAAGTTTCGAACTCATGTGGAAGAAGGCGATATAGTTTACCGACTATACATCCGACAGACCATCATCAAAGTTGTTAAGTTTATTCTTATTATTTGCTATACCGGCTACTATGTCCACAATATCCAGTTCAGCGTCGACTGCAATGTGGACATCGAGAGTCTCACTGGTTATCGCATGTACAACTGTGCCCATCCCCTGGCCACTCTCTTCAAGATCTTAGCCTGCTTTTACATTAGTCTAGTTATCGTGTACGGGATGATATGTGTGTACACCCTCAGCTGGATGCTACGGCGCTCTCTCAAGAAGTACTCGTTTGAGTCAATCCGAGAGGAGAGCAGCTACAGCGACATCCCAGATGTGAAAAACGACTTCGCCTTCATGCTGCATATGATTGACCAGTACGACCCCCTCTACTCCAAACGGTTTGCGGTCTTCCTCTCAGAGGTGAGCGAGAACAAACTCCGCCAGCTGAACCTCAACAATGAATGGACTTTGGAAAAGCTTCGGCAGAGGATCACGAAAAACTCTCAAGAGAAGCTGGAGCTCCATCTGTTCATGCTCAGTGGGATCCCAGACACGGTCTTTGACTTGTCGGAGTTGGAGGTTCTGAAGCTTGAGCTCATCCCTGATGTCACCATCCCACCAATCATAGCCCAGCTGACGAACCTCCGAGAGATGTGGCTGTACCACACACCAGCCAAAATAGAGGCTCCAGCTCTTGCGTTTCTGAGAGAGCACCTGAAATCGTTGCACATCAAGTTCACTGACATAAAGGAGATTCCTCTGTGGATCTACAGCTTGAAGAACCTAAGCGAGTTGCACCTTACTGGGAACCTCAGTGCTGACAACAATCGCTACATCGTTATCGACGGTTTACGAGAGCTAAAGCGACTGAAGGTTCTGAGACTGAAAAGTAACCTTACAAAACTGCCTCAGGTGGTCACGGATGTTGGAATGCATCTCCAGAAGCTGTCCATCAACAACGAAGGCACCAAGTTGATGGTGCTCAACAGCTTAAAGAAGATGGTGAACCTGTCCGAGCTGGAGCTTGTCCGCTGTGATCTGGAGCGCATTCCTCATTCCATCTTCAGCCTGCACAATTTACAGGAGCTCGATCTTAAGGATAACAACCTGAAAACCATTGAGGAGATCATTAGTTTTCAGCATCTTCATCGACTTGTTTGTCTAAAGTTGTGGTATAATCAGATTGCATACATACCTATTCAGATAGGTACCTTGGTCAACCTGGAGCGCCTCTATTTAAACCGCAACAAGATCGAGAAGATACCATACCAGCTCTTCTTCTGCCGGAAGCTGAGGTTTCTCGATCTGAGCCATAACAATCTGACTGACATCCCGTCAGAAATAGGAACTCTACAGAACCTTCAGTACCTTGCTGTAACTGCCAATCGGGTAAGTCAGGTTCAGGCTCAATACAGTTTTGAGATTTCATTTTATTTTTGTTTCTTTGTTACATTTTTCTTTCTGTTAGTTTTTCATCTGTTATTGGTATTTTATCATTATTTGTTTATTTTATTTTTTAGGACCGAAGGTTAAAATTAATGCCAAAGTTAATGCTCTTCCTGGTATAATTTAAGTGTTTAACAGCATTGAATTTGTATCTAGAGTTTTCATGTTTTGCAATATATTGTGTATCAAAACTATTTATTTAGGTTCATTTTGGAGTCATAATGTATTTTAGCTTAGTTTCTAATTTGATTTAAGTTAGCAATAATTACTTTTTAGCTTTCATTTTAGTTTTTATTAATGATAATACCACTGCTACAAACTTTTTATTTATATAGCTTGTGTAATTGCCACTGATGCAGATTTTGTTGTTGTTTACTCTTTCTTGCGTGAGGATCAAATTATACTGGTATTTATTTTAAAAGCAGTTTATTCAAAAAAATAACTACTAGATAGCAATAATACAACAGGTTCTAGGATAAAGAAAAAGTGCTACTGCTCTTATAATGAGATGCAAGTAGTACATTCTTTGCCAAGAGTGTAATGTTGATTGTACTTTCACTCAGCTTAGTTTTCTTATCTCTGTCCGCTTTCTGCTTTCATTTTACCCATAGATTGAGGCTCTTCCCCCTGAATTGTTTCGGTGTAAGAAATTGAGAACACTGAACCTCGGAAACAACTGCCTGCAGTCCCTACCCTCACGGTTTGGGGAGCTCACCAGTCTGACACAGCTGGAGCTGAGGGGCAACAGGCTGGAGTGCCTTCCTGTAGAACTTGGGGAGTGCAGATTGCTGAAGAGGAGTGGCCTAATTGTGGAGGACAGTATTTTCAACACTTTACCTTCAGAGGTCAAAGCGCAGCTGTGGAGAACTGACAAAGAGGCTTCTTGAAACGGATGCATGAACCTGAGAGCATTTGCCTGTGTGAAGATTTTAAATGGTGTGAGGAGAGGAATTCAATCCAAAATGATATGTTTGTTAAATATTTCAGGGTTCATTAGAATGTTTCCTGAAAGACATAAGGGGTGTTTCACATTATGGCATGTCATGTTTTATTATAACCGACAGCCATGGCATTTCTGTTGACAGTCACTGAGGAGTGAGCAGACCAAATATTACATCAGGATTAAGGTGCTGTTCATTTTTGCCTTAATTTACACAATACCATACAGATATTGTATTATAAACATTTTGACAATTTTATACCAGTGTTACTGTGTGTGTAAAATCACTCTTCTGTTGCCAATTCTTAAATCCATGGCTCTGTACGGTTGAAGATTTCAAATTCAACCTGATAAGGGTTTACAGTTTTTACAGTTTACTGCTAAAATACTACTTGTTTATTTGAAATTGTTGGGCAAAACTGTTCAAATTGCTCCTCATTAATATGTGAATAACTCGTCAATGTATTCTAAAACTTTGAGAGCACTAGATAACGTTTGAGCATTTGTTTATACAAGCCCTACATGTTACCCAGCACAATATTATGCTGAAAAGTATTTTTGACATACTGATAATGCAAGTCATCTCTGTTGCATGAATCATTTTACTTTTAAGACTTTATAAACGTGCATCATTCAATATTCATTAACTTTCTACAGTCATCTTAAAATCCGTATTGAAAGTTTAATGGTCAATGTATTCTAAAACTTTGAGAGCACTAGATAACGTTTGAGCATTTGTTTATACAAGCCCTACATGTTACCCAGCACAATATTATGCTGAAAAGTCTTTTTGACATACTGATAATGCAAGTCATCTCTGTTGCATGAATCATTTTACTTTTAAGACTTTATAAACGTGCATCATTCAATATTCATTAACTTTCTACAGTCATCTTAAAATCCGTATTGAAAGTTTAATAACGTGTTAACTGAGTATTTATGATTGCACAACTAATTTTTGATGTGTGCATGTTTGCAGTATTTATTTAGTTGATGCAAAACAAAGGCAAAATACATTTATAAAATGAACACTAAGAGATAGTGATAATGACTATCATTATCTACATGTATTTTGTTTGTATAAATGCATATTAGTATTGTTACTGTATTAGTATTATTACCATCACCTTTTCTAAGATTTTTATTATACCTTACAAATACAGCACCTTATTTTTACCGGTCTCCTCACTTTGAAATGCCTTGAGCATTATCTTTGAATAATAATTCGTAATGAACAGTTCACCCTTTGTGAAGGTATTCAGTTGACAGACATGTGAACATTCACATTGAAGTAGACTAGTACCCTCAACTTTGCACTAAATGTTTTCTGTTCCCTTTAAACTCATGTCATGTTCTCATGGCAGTGCACCCTTAAGAAGACAATCAGAAGTATTTAGTGAAGTGTTGTAGTGGTATGTGTGCAATGCAGTTTTGATATTGACTGAATTATAACTGAGTGTGTGATGCAGGTTAATACTTCATGTTACTTGTTTGCTTCCTGTAGGATTAACAGCTGTTTTGTCTTGCCATTGTAATAGCCATATTCAATTTGTTATGTTAAACTTGTTACTGTTGATCGATTATTGAACATAGGTTGTTGCATGTTTACTATTTTACCTCAAATATGAAACTGTAGGATTTTAGAAGAAAGCTTGTTTGTTTCTTCTATGTATGTATATGTATATATATATATATATATATATATATATATACGCACACATTGGAAACTAAGCTAATAGAATTTCAGAAGTTACTCAGGTAAATGCCATTTAACTTTTTAAAGCTTGTCAAACGTATTTTTAATGTCAGTGTTATTTTAGGTGTGTGTGTGTGAGTGACCAGTGTTACTATGGCTCCAGTGCTCACATTTTTGTAACCATTATATATTTATGGTTGACGACTTGATTGGTGAGGACTTCATTGTATTCAATAAATCCACTATTGTTTCCTTTTATTTCTTTTCTTTCTTTTTTTGTTTGTTTTGTTTTGTTTTGTTTTGTTTTGCAAAGTAAATGTACATTTTAATAGAAATTAAGTTAATCCCATAAAATATATCAAGCCATACAGAGTGAATAAACACTCGGTTTTCTTAATGTGTCAATAAAAACCACTGGAAGTAGTTAAGTGATTATATTGAATTTTTTATAGTGAATGCCATTATATCAATAAATAACTGGCTTTCAGTTTGTCAGCTTTACATGCTGTTGTAAACAGTACAGTAGTAACAAGTTCTTTTAAAATATTCACTCAACTTTGTTATAATTATTGGTACTGTTGTTAAAACTATTATTTATGAATAGAGTGAGATAAGGTCGTTTTTTAAAATGATAAAGAATGATTAATGGGAACCAATGTTTTCAGTTGCGTCGGACGTTATTCAGTGAAACACCCACTGAAGGCGGCCTTGTGTGCAATGCTGGACTGTAGTGTTCGTGTCAACCTATATAATTTCTTCCTTGTGTTTTAGAAGATGGTAAGATTGCGCTTTACTATGAATGCTGAACTTTACGAAAAACATATATATTTAGTTTATATGTTGTATAGAATACATTAGTTTAACGCTTTATCTGTTAGCATTGCAGTGGAGTAACAACGTTACTCTGGCCAAATTACAGTTAGTGAAATATTTGATATTCTGTGGTAGGCTTACCTTTAAGCAGTGTGAAAGAATTATTTGCATTCTAAATGAGTAATTATTAACTGTATATTAAGAACGAATCTAATGATTAATGATGTAATTGTACTGTATTAATGAGCTGAACTCTTTCGTCTTCTCGCAGGCTGTTACTCTGCACACAGAACTCGGTGATTTCAAAATAGAGTTGTTTTGTGAGAAAGCCCCGAAAACCTGTGAAGTAAGGCACTTGTTTCCAGCACACAGCTTCAATAGGAAATATCATTTTGTTCATACGTTAATTCTCATTTTTATTTTCCCCATAGAATTTTATTGCACTGTGCGCTAGTGGGTTTTACAATGGATGTATTTTTCATCGAAACATAAAGGGCTTTATGGTCCAGACTGGAGACCCAACAGGTAACTGATCCTGGATTTCTTTTCTTACCTCAAACCCAAGTCTCTCAGCTTTAGTTTTTAGCTCGAAAAGTTGTAAAATGCGTGAATGCTAGGTTGATGTCTTTGAATTTGGTTGACTTATAAAAATCGTTTTTTTCCCTCAGGTACAGGCAAAGGAGGGACCAGCATTTGGGGAAGAAAGTTTGAAGATGAATTCAGTGAACATCTGAAAGTATGTCTTGATATTGAAGTATTATAATGTTTTGTACATCATTATACTTACAAAAAAAAACATGAACTTGAAAACGTATATTAAAGTTAGACATGAGTTTGAATTTTAAGGCATGAATTTGAGGATCAACTTTCACAGTGGCATGTGACTTGAATTGATGATGTACGCACGGTTCAAGTTGCTGCTGCTTTTCGATGCAGTGTTTTTCTTACAACATCAGCCTATGTTGCAAGAAAACCTCTTATTAAACATGTAGTCTGTGCAAAAATAATATTTAACATCCCCAGTATCTGGTATTCAAGTTAATCATGTCTGGACCAAACTGACTTGCACCGCAATTTAAAAATCTTTTTAGTCTTATCTAACTTGATCTTTCTTTTAATGTCTGTGTAATGTAGCACAATGTCCGGGGCGTGGTGGCAATGGCAAATAATGGACCAAACACAAATGCATCACAGTTCTTCTTTACATATGCAAAACAGCCTCACTTGGACATGAAGTACACGGTTTTTGGAAAGTATGTTTATTTATTTATTTATTGTTGTTGTTAATGACCTCCCTTTTGCTAGTGTGTTTTATTTTCAATTTTTCTTGTGATTTTCTGTTATAATTGTATCGATGGTAATGAATTGTAACACAAGCTTATTCTTTGTTACAGAATTATAGATGGACTAGAAACTCTGGATGAACTAGAGAAAGTCCCTGTGAATGAAAAGACTTTCCGTCCTCTTAATGATGTCCATATTAAGGATGTTACTATCCATGCCAACCCATTTGCTGGTTGATTGATTTCATTGCGAAACATTCATAATGTCTTGTGTTGTAAATATTTTTTTTTTTTAGTTTCATGCGGTTTCATAAATTTGTTCACACTGACTTGCCTCTGTTTTCCCCATAATATCTTGCATTGCGTTTTAAATGTATGGTATTTTTAATTAAAATAATAATAATAAATAAGCCATTGTACTTTTTGCCATTGTACTATTTTCAATAAATTGATAGAATTTCTCATTGTTTTCGGAAGTGGTTTCAATATAATTTGCATTTATTCTGCATTTTCTATGTATGAACTACGATTTTGAAAGGCAGAAAATTAAAACTACAATTTTGAAATTATGACGCTAGTGACCCTGAAATATAGGCAAACACACCTGTATTTTAAATAAAATAACTGAAATCCAGAGAAGGGTATAACTGCAGCCTGGAGATCTCCAAATGGAGGCGGGAACTCAAAAACGGGGTGGAGCTCCAAAATAGGCCGTGGCTTCCTCCCATTGACAGACAGGCACATTACATGCATGCACATTTTTTCCCCCAATCCACTTCAGTGCAAACTCCGCCTCACAGCTGATTCTAAAGATTTTATTGGTTGTGTCAATTAAAGTGTTGATTTCCTACAAATCTTACCCTGGAGGGCCAATGCGCTGCAGAGTTTGGCTCCAACCCTGATCAAACTCACCTACCTGTGATTTTATAATGATCCTGAAGACATTGATTAGCATGCTCAGGGGAGTTAGAGCTAAACTGCTGGAAAGTGGATCCTGTGGGCCAGATTTGAGGATCCTTGTCCTACACTATACTACAAAAAATGCTAACCCATAAACCTACCCCACACCTGACCCTATCCTTAACCAGTGAGATTGACTGCACGGCGGGATTGGCGCTGAATAGCGTGGTAAAGAAAGATGCAGATGTTCCGTAACTCCCCAACCGGACAATGACACCTTTTTAGTTACACCCAGTGTCACTACCCCCTTTAAGTATTGGTTTTAGTATTGTTTTACTTTAGCTGAAAAGCCTATAATAGGCTGTTTAATAGCAGATTCCATTGTGATTCCAATTTACCCAATGAAGAGTGATTCTGCTATTGGCGCATTAATGGCAGAAATGATTGATATAGTTTTTAATCAATTTTATGTCCTTTTGCAGAAATTGAATTTAAAAAATAAACCTGCCCTGAGAAATGTACCGGAGTAAAAGGTGTGACAACTAGCCCCGGTCTCCTTTACCATTTGTAATTCATGCAAAGGGCTTGGGTATTATTACTCTACAAAACAAGTGGGTTTTTTTCATCTTATTTTAATTAGTTGGCATCAAAGCAAGTACGTGTCAATGCAGTATGGTAAGTGTATTTCTGTTCTTTTACATGCCACAGAATTGTTACATTGAGGTAATACAAAATGCTTTGTCTTAATAGCCCAGGAGTAATTATAACAGAAGTTCACAAGCGTGCAGGACTTGATGAGGACCAGTATGCTCAGGTGATGAGTGAAGATCAAATGCTTTATCTAATGTTC